TTATTTATTTATTTATAGGGCTATGATTTTGACCTGGATATAAGCAATTCTGTATACCTACTCCATGAAGATAAAACATAATATAATTTAGATTTACACTTTAGATTTGTAGATTTTCTAGATCTGAATGATGGTATGGATAGTAGACTTCGCATTAATGGCGGCATGGTTGAGCAATTATAACATCAATAGTAATGCAAGCAACATACAACAAGCAACATCCATAGTAAAAATGAAAATGTAATAACTTTTCTCAAGTCTCGATTGGTTTTTAATAAAACTACCTTTGACAGGTTAAATTTGATTTAAGTCTGTTTACCTTGAAAATTCTAAAGTTATAAAGCAGTTGTTTGTCTCGAAATCAAAAAAAAGAAGTCGTGACCAAAAAAAACAAATACAGTAGCAATACAGAGTTACCTCAAAAAGTCAATAGACCACCACAGACAGGGCCCTATAGGGCTGATGTTTAGCCGGCATTGCGGGGTAATCACAATAAGGTACCATGAACCCGGCAAAGAGTTGAAGAAACGGGGATGTTTTAGACAGTAAGAGTCTAACACTTCTTCCCGTCCCACCTTGGCCGTGAAAAATCATTTGATGATTTTCCCCTCACAACAAAGTGCGCCATAGTTCAACTATATCGGGGTTCTATTCTGGGCTCAAATTGTGCTCCATTTCGTAAAAAATGTTCCTTAGTCTGATGCACTCAGTTTTATTGAAGCTTGCCAACGACCCAAACGGCCAACACTTAGAAATCAATTAAGAAAGCTATCTGTCTGGCTCCCAGCTGATTTATGTGCGATAAAATTGGCTCCAGCTTGTTCATTGAGATAATTTTATTATGAAAGTAGTTATTTGTGGGTACAGAGCCTTCTACTCATAAAATGTAGATTACTGGGTACCTAGTTTTTTTGAGGGGGGGATTCTGTTTCCTTTGGTTTGGCGTGAGAGAATGTCTGACTCTTATTGACTAAGAACCATTATCTACGTTCCAACATCTGATCTTTTTTCTTTGCCGTTTTCCGACTTTAGTTAACTCTTTCACGTTTTGAACTAGTCGTTTTAGGAAAATATTTACCTATCATAAAGATAAATCAGGTCAACACAAAGTAATAACACGGTCTCACAGAAAACCGGCGTGAAACAACTACAGCGTTGTGTTTTGCCATGTGAGTGAGGTTACCGGAAACCCAATCCTTTACCCTGCCAATCTCCAAAACTAAATCTAAATCCCCAAGCGGTCGGCAAATGTCACTCGTAACTTCTCTTTGTTGCGGGTGTCTATGGGTGACGGTGATTGCTTACCATCAGGCAGTCCGTCTGCTGCGTCTTGCCGTCCATACATACAAAATGCAAGCAAGGAAAGATTTTCTATACTAGAGGAATCGTGAAGAAATATTGTAATTTACAACTGCATAAAGACTTTGGTCTTTAATACTTATTATAAAACAAGCAATACACTTGGCTGAGTTATAACTCGAACTAATCTTCGTTTCAATCGCTGTTACTAGTATCAATTCTAACACCTTTAAGATGGCACGTGTAAAACAATTAACTGTATAAATGAAGGAGATTTAGGATAAAAGTGACCTTTACGGCATCCAGGCCGCGCCGACCGTAATCTTTACTGGGCCCGCCAAATTGATCCATAAACTTGATATCACCAAAAAAAACTTGCTACAGAAAAACCACTCTGTAGATTGTTAGTTCAAAGTTTTTAAAACTTGGTTTTGGAGAGTATCATCTTCTTAGAATAACTCAGAAGATAGGTACAATTCAGTAATTTCTTGTAGATACCTACGTTTAAAAATAATACTTAAAGCGTGTACTTAAATGAGGCGGTTTTCAACTGGGCCAATGTTAATGAAAACCGGTAATTTTACGTATCATATTAAGGTTCAAAATCTTAATTAAGTACATTATCAAAACTATAAAGCCGTTGTAAGCGTTCTAAAGTTTGTATGGAGACTTAAAAGTATGTTGTTGTTACTGATGTAAAATAATTTTTAACTTAGGTACTGCCTGATTAAGTATTACTTAATTAAGATTGATGAACTTTTGTTTCTTATGGACGATAAGATGATTGATCAGAAATTATGTTTTCTCAAACATTTTTATTTTCTATTTGTCCTGCTAATTTCAGTAGAATAATGGAGTTTCTTACTCGTTCTTCTCCATTCGAATCTGTAATTAGGAACGAGCACCTAGCTTCCCTGACGACTAGACTGAGGGACTATTATTGTAATTTGACATTTCTTAAGTACCTTTAGATATGGTGTAGTTGGAATACATGACTTTGACTTTGACATCGAAATAAGTGTGGGAGAGCCAAGATTCGGCACCACGGCCTTACAGAATACCGGCGTGAAACAACCCAGCGTTGTGTTTCGCCGTGTGAGTGAGGTTACCGGAGGCCCAATCCCTCCCCCTCCCCTATCCCTTCCCGATCCTTTTATCCCCTACTCCTATGCTCAAAAGGCCGTCAACGCACTTGTAACTCCTTTGGTGTTACGGATGTCCATGGGCGGCGCTGATTGCTTACCATCAGGTAATCCGTCTGCTCGTTTGCCGACTTATACCATAAAAAAAAATCGAAATATCCTAACAAAGTGAAACTTTTGTTTTTCTTTTCCTACATTCGTTTATCCTCATCACACGTAGCCAACTTTCTTGCGGTAAAGGACAGCTTGATATTTACTGGCGAATATGGCGGCCATGAATCATGTACGGAACTTCGTTTGCGTCTGTGGAATACTAATATATTACGAAAGATATTAATAGATTTGAAAAAAAGTTATTTGTATATATACTTATTTTTATAAGATTTTGGAAAGTAAAGGTCGTGTGATAAGTACCTGTTTGATTTATGCACTTAATAAAAAAAAACTTAGCAGCTGATTTGAAGACTTTTTATTGGATTCGTATTTCGATTCATGAACATGTGTTTCTTGAATCATAATGATTTCTGGATATTAAAAGAATAAGTGGCGACTAAATCAACTACACATAAGAAGATCAAAAACACAAATTAAGTATTAGATACATTTATCAAGTCCTACTACCAAATAAAACAATAACCTTCCCCTTTCCTAATCCCTCCTCAATCCCAAAATCTCCAAATCCCTAATCCCCAAAAGGTCGGCAACGCACTCATAACCGTTTTATTGGTGTCAATTAGCGGCACTGATTACCTACCTACTTACCATCAGGTAATCTACCTACTCGTTTACCGTCACATCCCATAGAAAACCTCTATTAAAAACATCCAAAACAGACAAGCACCCTATGAATTTTGTAATATACAAAAGTGCCAAAATCTTCTATCCAACCAAACACATAACGTGTAGAAGATACATTTATTCATAATATATTAAACTAGAGATAATCCGCTTGCCGTGATCCGCTTAGCAGTCACGAAACAGAACGCTATCACCAAATACTGCGCAATAAACAAAAACGATACAATGAGGCGCTCAGATTTAATTCGATTTACCTACCTAAGCACTTTTATATGCGAAAGTAATTTATATAATACCTACACGGATTATCATAACCAGATACTGATTTATATGGAGAATTTCCACTTCAAAGAAATGCAAGGTCTTATCTTTCACGATAAGGCAATGCTCTAATGAATCGCCTGGTGGAAAGCAAAATGATTTGAGAGTAGCCGGGGTTGCGGGGAAAGCGCAATGTAGCACCGCGGCTTCGGCCTAAAGGGGGAGGAGGAACGGGGGGTTTTTAGTCAGTAAGAGTCTGACACTCTCTTGCCTCACCCTGGGCAGGACAAGTCATTTGATGATTTTCCCTGACAAAACTGAAACTCAGGATTTCTTGTTTTACTAACGCACTACTTATCCAACCGTCCAATGAGGTAGCTACATAACAATCATCATCATGGTGTCACTTGCAACATCGAACAGTTACCAGTGCGTAGCTAGCATTTTAGAGATACCTACCTAAAGGATTTGTGGATTAGGGGATTGATTGCGAATGAATCTGGTGGTCTCACTCACACAGAAACATAAGTTTTAAGATAACAAAAAATCCTTTTTGTGCCTACAAAGAACGACCGACGATGACACTACAATATAATGTAGTAAAAGGTATTTCTCCACTACCTATATTCTGCAAACAAAATTGCTAGTTCTTGCTAAATATTTGATACAAATAGACTAGGCAACAAGTGAGTTTACCTTGCAGGCTTACTAAGAAATAGCGAGTTAATAACTCGATACTACCAGTAGTTTGAAGTTCTAACAACTATTCCAATTCTTAGTAACTTGTCTTAGTACCTACGTATCGTCAAAGAAATTGACAAACAGACATCGTTTAGCGAAATTGCATTAGGTATGTTCGTTTTATGACTCATAGTTTAAACCGTAATATATAAACCCTCTAAGTTAAATTGGATAGAATCGGCCTGTTTACATCGCACGTATAATTCACATCTATAGTATAGTCAATTTCTTTTTTTAGAGCAGACGGATTACCTGATCGTAAGGCATTCAATTCAGAAGCTTATGTTTACTAAAAACAGTATCTAAACATGGCAAGCCTTTGCACGTCAAAAGTAACATACCGTACCTAGATCGATGATGAAAGAAATGTCTTAAAAGTCCCGCGAAAAAATATAAATATAAAAAACGACGACTTTTATTTCAGCGTTAGCAATAAACAAATTAAATGATTGGTCATTAATTTTTTTTTTCATATTTACCAGGCACAACATAACACCGCCATACTTCACCTACCTAGGTGCTTAAACTCTCAAACGTTACATAAAATGATGGATATTTGTGTTTGTTTGTCCCAAATATTCTGTTACCGGTATTACAAGTTTTGAAGTTGGCCTGGATCCAAAAGCAGTTTACATGTTAAACGATGTAAACTTTGACGATTATGAACTCTTCCTCCGAACAAATAGCTATATACCTAACAATGATTGGTACACAATACACTGCAACACTCCAATAATTTTACAAAACGTGAACTCGACAGAAAGATATTTCCTACAACTCCGAAGTGCTGTATTCACCTCGCATTAGTTAATCCTACCATGCGACCGTTCGTGTTCATTTTAAAGAGGAAATAAAACAAACTAAACAACCGAGCCAAACAGGAGACGTTTGAATATAGCCGGGTATAATCTTGGCGTGGTACAGTGAACTAATTACTGTGAAAGACTCGCGTGAGAGCAGTGTGCACGCATACGGTAACCTTTTAGTGCGACAGAGACGGAAGTGGGCAGTTTTCCAAGATGAATTTGATGTTTCGGAAGAACTTCAGCGGGGAGAAAACCGTCTCGTCGAGCGGGGGTGGGGGGAAGGCGCGGGGCGCGCTAGGTGCAGGGAGGAACGCCAAGCGTCGCGACCGCGAGCGATACTCCTGCATGGAGGAACACCACTACAAGACCCACATATTCTTCTCGGCGGCACCCCGGCCCAGTGCGCAGTACAACGACCTCACAGGTAAACGTACGTGACCAGTGACTGTGAACCGAGGAACTTATCTCGTGTGTGTGCCTAAACTTTCTTAACAACTTTTCAAGTTTAAGTGCTGACACCGTGCGAAGCAAACTAGTCCAGTAATTCAGTGAAGATTGCATTGACCTCGTTGATTTACGTTAAAACACGGCACACATGAAACTCTGTCCAACTATAAATAAATTATTTGACAGGTGACGCAGTGTTTAGACACGAGTTCATTACACACGCTACTAAAACAGGCAGTTAACAACGTAACAAGTGCTTCTAATGTAAACAAACCACTCGAAAGTTCTGTGTCAAAGGTTTGTCTTGCAACTTTGCTTATGTTGGATGGAACTAGTGTAAATCGGTTCAAACTGGTTCTGTTTTGGCGCTAAACACCAAACATCATCCCGAGGTTACTTCCCGCGTAAGTGTTATGACACGTATATCATACAGTATTTATAATTGGCACGACTTAATCGACTCTGTTTATTACTAACCTTTGGGGAATTAATCATTTGGATCGTTTGAAGATCATCAATATAATGTCAAAAAGCAAAGGTATAATGTTATTTTGTGTCTAACTTTATTAGTGTGTAGATATGGTGTTTGTTTTTCGACATTTATGTACTTAGGTATGTATTGAGTCTAGCTGTAAATAACTATTGCCTAGATGATTTCTGTCAATAAAACTGTATCAAACAAAACAAACTTTAACCAGGTAGCCCTATGTCTTACTGACTCTTAGTAAACTTAGTTATCATGTCAACTTAGAATCATATCAATGGATAATTGGTTGTACCTAAATATTAGATTTATAGTGAGTTGTAAAGTTCAAATGGCAATTTGCGTCATTTTTTGTGTCTATGTACTTGCTTTGTTGATTTGGTTTGCTTGCGTAAACCAAATCAACATATCACAACTTCTAGTATCAATCTCCACAAATGGAACAACCAATAAAATAGACAAACGAGCTGAAAAAAAGGAAAATGAAGATTATTTTTTCTCTTGAAATACATATTCAACATTTTCGACAGTATAAACATTGCCTCTGTCTGACTGCAAAATAGTTTGTTGGCAAATGAGCTCCTTTTGTCTAGCTCAAACACAAACATTGATAAGGAAGGCTACCTTACAATCTATCGTAAATATAAAGATCGAAAATAAAGCAAAAAAGGTTCGATAACAGCAATTCCCAAGCTAAAAAAAGAAAATAAATCCAGGTCTCCACCTACAAAACTAACACAACCCTTCAAATATCCACAGAACGATGTGGGCCTGTAATAGGCGGTGGTACGGGGCCGGAGCCCGAGCCGCCGCAGCCCCTGGTGACGAGGGAGCCCTCAGTGTCCCTCCTACGATGGGACAGGGGCCCGGTGACCACTACCACTGTCCCGACCACCACGGACCGGCGCCGGACGGAACCCGTCTCTCTCGCCACGCTACAGAAAGACTGCTTCGTTATTCCAGCGCACGCGCTTGATCGGTTTCTGCCTGATGGGGTGCCGGTAAGTTTCTATTTGTCTATTTGATTGGGAAATATGTAAAAGAGGACGCACGATTTAGTGGCGTGGTGGGCAATCAGATATCAGGGTTCGATACAACTTGGTAGTCCCTAATTCCGCTAAAAACTAACGGTCATTTTACTAAACAAACTACAAGCTACTACACAACAGCTTCTTAATAGTATAATAATAATTAATCATAATTAGCAATGATAGCTACTATAGCGGGCGCCATTTATGTAGTTTTAGCTACCCTTGAGCGACCCAAGAATTAGACGGACTAGAGAAAAATATAATTCTCGTGGACAGTGACAAATCGTAACCAATTATTTTTAATTTCTCAACAAAGTTAGGAATTTCTTACTAAACGTTGACTTGGAACCTTATAATTAAAAAATGTTGTGAATAAGTGCGACCTTTAAACGTCACTTTTTCTATTTCAGCTTCCAGTTCCGCCTCCAACGCCAGAAAAAGGAATGACAACAAAGACTGCACAAAACTCTCTTAGCATCCTCGAAATAGCTGACCCCAAACTTTGTATATTGGCCCACCTCATGAGTCCGTTGGAGCCAATAGAACCAATATTGGAATCACCGCTTGCCAAACCTTTGATAAGACAGAAGTCAGCGGCGGCAGAACTCTTGAATGAAGTAGCACAGGCCAATACCGCTGTAGGAGGGATGTTGTTAGCGAATATGGAAAAGAATGCAGAATTCCCATTCATATCTTACTATGTGATAAATACAACACAAACAGACCCATTATTGTTCTACAATAATATGAGATGTGCTTCCTTGAACAAGTTTGATCCGAAGACGATACGGTACTCGGCAGCGCATACGTTAGACCTGTATAGTGAAGTTGCGATGATCTGCAGACCTCCGTTCAATGACTTAGCTGGTGGACCGAAGAAGTCACACACGCCCACTACTGGATTTATCATTAGTGTTTACAAGGTATATAATGTTTCTCTTTAGTTTTCAAAGCGCTGATTGAAATTCAAATTTACTTATGCCACTAACATCCATGCTGTTAACGACCAATAATAATCTTACACTTCTTACTGAAAAGAAGTAGGTAAAGGCAATCCTACCTACGATTTAGAGTATTAATTATACTCATAGTCGGTGCCTCATATATGAGGATCGTGGTCAGCATCGAGCTATCATCGCCATTTTCTCTCGATTTCTCACTATACTTTTGATATGATCTAAGTACTAAAACGCAATTCATCTGGCGCATCTACGATGAATCTTTCACTTGATCGGTCCATCTGGTTGGTGAAGGACCACGCGATCGTTTGCCCTAGGTGTTCCCAACGACAATCAGTTTTTCTAGACTTCTTCTCTTAGACTTTTCTGGAGTTCTAAAAGTAACAATTACCAAACCATTCATTAATAATATGAAACTCCTTTTGCAGGTATTCGAAGGCGACGACGGTGAGCGCTTCGAAAGGAACTGGTTGTACTGGACGGGGGCGCGAATGCTGTACCGACACCTACCTCACACAGTGGGCATGAGGAAGATAGCGCTGCACAAGTCTGTGGCTGCTCACGGAGACAAGATGTACCTGTTAGTGTGCGAGTGTGCCAACCTAATGGACGACCTGTCGGGGGCCGCGATGCTAGTGACAGCTCTGAGAGCGCGCCTGTGTGGGTACACCGGCTTATACAGGCCAATACAGACTTTCTAGTAAAGGGACGTGGGCCTATACGGCCTTGAGTGTGTTGTTTTGAAATTTGCGGACATCAATAGTTTAGTGTAGGTTAGTTATGTTGGGTGATGAATTTGGGACTACTAATTACTTCAATATTTATAAATGAAACGTTCCGTATTGTTGGTGGCGCTAGTGTTGTCTAAGGTCTCCTGACATGGAGGCAAGTCGCGCATTTTAAACCAATAAATGAAGATATATTTGAATAATTCCCATAATAAAACAAGTAACAACGGTTACCCATCTGATAGAAAAGCCACAAATTCATGACCTAACTCAAAATTGGATCTCTATTTAGTCGATCTAGATGTCCAGGCAAAATCGGTCATAAACAGCACACGTGAACAAACGGACCAAAGTATTATTATTACATTTAAGGTTATCTTAAATGGTGTACAATATTTGACTGGGTACAGGCAAGTCGAGCCGAAGTGTTCTTGATTTAGATATAAGAAATTTTAATCATAAAACGAGTGATTTTCTTCTGTAGACGCCATTTTCTCTCGATTTCTCACTATACTTTTGATATGATCTACTAAAACGCAATTCACCTCACTCTCTTACAGTTTTCTAGATAATAAAGAATATTTAATAAATGATAGAACTTGACAATATTTTGTTATAATTGGGTGAAGTCTTCCATAGAACGGCGTACGTACTCAATAATTACGTATTCAATGGATACCAAGATTAAGCATAGAAAATTTTAAACAGCTCAAATAACCCCTTTTCTATTTTTGCCTAATAAAATCTTTTGAAAGAAATAATTATTTTTCGACTTTTCCAATTTTCTGACATATCTCGAGATACATATCATTAATCTCACGTTCAATCGAAATAATATTTAAATTCATTGCCTACCTACCTATAACCTACCTACCTATGTACCTACCTACTCTCATTTCACAACTCTCGATAATTTAGGAATAAAATAAAATGTGATTCTCACAAAAAAAGTAAAATAGTTCGCCTTAAAATTAACAAAACCGTTGCTATTTTAGAAACGCACAAAATTATTATTATATAATTATAAATGCTTAATTCCCGAACGAAGTTTGAAATATTTATAAATAATAATATAGATACACATTCAGTAAGATAGGTATTTATTTTAATTTAATTGTTGACCGACGGATAAAAAGTGTCGTTCTAATAATATACCTAGCCGTGAAGCGACTATTGAAATATTTCTGTCCTTTTTCATCTATTAATACGTACTCTTAACGATAATAGTCTCTAACTACCTATCAAAGGTAATAATTTAATACTCAAATCTGTTGTAGCAAAAAGTAGGTATTCTACCAAAATTATCCAATAATTTCCTACATACGGTACCAACGAATAAAAACGTTTTACAAACAAGTCGATATGCTATCAAACGTGTAAAATACCGTAAATACGTACTTACTTACCGTCAAATAAGTAACCTATTAACAATATGAGTAGGTATCTACTTATTTAAGTTAATTATATTAGCTTCCGTCATGACAAAATGACCTAATTTTGTTTATTGTAACAGTTACCTACATAAAATATTTATTTACAAAAGAACCATCCTCCTTTTTTAAATGTCGGTTTAAAAACATAAACCTCTATTTATCGGAACATAAAACCATGACCAACGAGCCTAACAGAATATTGTGATTCATTATAATAATAAATTAAAAATTATATCCACAAAGTGTAAGCATAGTATTGGCTTGAAAAGCATCAATATGGATTTTATCATAAGATTTTTATAGTAGAAAACGATTAACTTGTAATTAAACATATATATGCTTATAAATTTAAAGTTACTGGCTTTTTTGGTTGTAATTCCTAACAAAATGGACGCTTGAATTATAGACAAATATTTGTTTTTTTTTATCTAAGTGCCAATTCAGTGACTGCAATTATAAGGGGAACCAAAACACTCATTCGCACACAGAATTACAAAACTATAACATAGTTATAAAACAAGCGTCTACTAGAATCTAAATAAATGCTTTTACAATATATCTGATTTGAAGCTATATTCGATCATCTACCCATGAGTTAAGAAACTATCTACAATATTTCCTGTACTGCAACTGCGATGTTGTTTAGCACTTAGGTGAGGTTTCATTTGCATTTCCTACATTACTCCGAAATGCGTAAAAAAGAATGGATAGCGCGAAAGGGAGTATCAGATTGTTACAGATTAAAAACCTCCCCATTTCTTCTCCTGCTCCGGGGCGGGACTACGATACATTAATGCGTTTACACCCGCAACCCCGGCAATATTATTCTGCGGTGCTAATTCTAGTCAATTTATAGTTAGCAAAAAACAAAGCTTGCAAATTTTGTAATAAAAATACAAATAACACAATTAATCAGACAATTTTTGAGTACTTAGATAAACTTAGAAAATTTTAACAATTGACCTAACATAGTTTTTGCCAACATAACAATTTTAAAATAAAAATGTTTTTAGATTTCGATAACACCAATAAATTCATTAGAAGTATTTCATTTTAGAGTATTATAGTTAGAATTTAATGCAATTTTATAAGGCTTAATAATGTTATATTAATGTTAATAATTATTAGAATAACTATAAGGAGTTGAAACATTTTGGTTGTGTGGTACCAAAAATCTAACTAATGCAATTATGTATTGAAAATGTTCTTTATAGAATGGCATAGGCATATTTTACTGTACCAAATACACCCCTGTTCAAATATTTTTAAAGAAACTAAGCTTATATTGCATAACCTACTTGAATTGTTAAGCATTAGCTTATGAAAATTATAAGCGAGTGGGTTATTAACCCCTTCATTTACTTCATTACTTATATATAATGTGCTTACAATATTATTTTAGAACCTTGTACCTACCTAATATATATTTATTACCAATACTAATACAAAGAAAATTACCTATGTCCACTCGCTGTTAAAATATTTCTAAGACACAATGTGAAGTAATCATATAAACTGGATTTGTTATTTATAAACACTGTCAAATTGAAATTATGTATGAAGCCATGTATTATTGTATGAAAGCAATTTAAAATAATTACTGTTTGGCTTGAAAAGCTAGTTACGAGTGCAGGCTAAGCTCTGTAAAATATATAGAAGATTTAATTAAATTTCAATTATTTTTATAATAAAATGTGAAATTTATGGTGTTTTGTTTTATTTACCTAATTAGTGTGTGTTTTGATTTTAATGCCATCTTTCTGTACTGTATTTATGAAAAACCTCTATGATCCTTTCAATAGAGGTTTCCCAAAACTCAGGAAGGAAACTCAAAAAAATACACATTTGATTGAGTAAATTTTTGGCCAAAAACACCTTTTCAACCAATATGGTTTTATATTGAAAGATTTTGTCTAAAACTATAGTCCAAAAATGTTAACAGCTTGACATCCACAAATATTATATCAGTCATAAGGTAAAAGAATACTCTAGAGCCTCTTGATGGACGAAAATTTTCATTATTCTTATTATATAAATAAGTTAAGCAATCCCAAAGATTAATGCATATGTATGCACATAATCTATATAAAACATAAAAACATCAAATACAACAATCACAATTTATTAAACAAAATATATGAATACTTTATACATTATATTAAAACAAACTAAGTCTTTCTAAGTAACACCTAAAATAATGTGCTTTAGTACCCTTTGTGTCCACGAAACCTTCTCCTGTTGTCCAACTGAAAACAAATGAGCAATGATTTTTAAACTTGTACTTCGCATTTGCATGAGATCTCACCGTACAAACTTACAAAATGATTTGACTGTCAACACTGACATATTATTTATTTTCTTTACTACAGCTAAATAAAAGCTGCTGTTCCAAGATTTTTGCCAATAAATCTAGATGAGATAGACTATGAATAGACCAACAAGTTGTCAGTTACTTACCAATGACCTTTTACATTCAAAGAAACTCTGCCTAAGCTGTATACACTCTTCTGGGATATTACCCTCTTTGAGGCACTCTCGGGGAGTTTTCTTTTCCTAGAACAATTTTTTATATAAACTTGGTATTGTTTTCTTACTTGAACATTTCTTAAGTATTTTACTATCTATACAGTTATTTGTTTATGAGCAATGTACTTAAATACTTTAAAATGTATATAAGTATTATTTTTTTAGCCATTTTGTGGTTATATTTCATCATGAAAACTATTTAAGTAACAAAAAACATTCTTATTAGAAATACCCTTATGGATACCCACTAATCAATAAATATAACACAAGCCCATAATTAACTTTTCATTTAAAATATTTAAATTCAAGAAGTGCAAAGATACTAACCCTTTTGCAACAGTCGCTTGCAAGCAAACAGATCTTAAGATCAGCTCTTATGCCCGCACATGGCGATTTGTCTGCTAGGCCAACCTCATCTGGAGCGTAAGTAACCATTTCGAGTTTTAATTGGAGTTTTATTCACAGAGAAATTGAGCCAAGACGATCAAGCTTATCAATATCAATATAATTCAGTCGCTGTTTCTGTCTCTCAGCTGTCAATATGTTTAGTGTCAGTCGTCAGTGTCAGCCTCACAGCTGTCGTTAAAATAGATTTCCGTTTTGTGATTTTCTATGTAGTGTGTAGTATAGGTGATAATAAAATTATATTAATTCATAGACAACAATAAATTTTAAAAATGATTAATTATTAACATATATAGAATTCTTAATTTATTTTAGATTGTTACTAATACTAATTTGAGAGGATAGTTAAAACATATTTGCTTTAACTCCACGTAAATTGTAACGTATGTGTCAGAAATGACGGTTTTCTGATAACAATTTATTATGATGTTGACAGTTCATTGTTCATTTCAATTTCATTGATATCATTATCAGCTGTTGTTAGATTGAGTTCAGTGCCCATTGCCCCCAGTGGTTTACTACTTATTCCGTGTCCATGAACTTTACGGCTGATTGAAAATGAAGAAAGTATTCCCGGTTATCTCAAGAAAACTTTCACACGTGTGTAGTTTAAAACCATATAAGGAGACGAAGTGGTTGATGCCAAATGGAAATCCAACGGGTGCGTACATTTACAACTGTGTTGCGGACCAGAAAGTTCCAGTAATACTTAACGACCCTCACATAGCTACCTGGTACTCTTGTGGCCCGACAGTGTACGACTCCGCCCACATTGGACATGCGAGCTGCTACGTTAAACTCGACATCATTCAACGAATAATAAAATCATTTCTGAACATCAAACTTGTAACTGCTATGGGAATTACGGATATCGATGACAAAATAATTAAAAAAGGTTTAGAAACTAAGACGCACTTTCAGAACATTTCCAAACAGTATGAGCATGAGTTCTGGCTTGACATGTCTTCACTAAACATTGAGAAACCGTTAATTATAACTAGAGTATCAGAGCACATCAACTCCATTGAAAGTTTTGTACAGAAACTTATTGACACAGAGATGGCCTATGTTACAATGGATGGTTCAGTTTATTTTGATACAACAAAATATCCATCTTATGGAAAACTACAAAGAGCACAGACTGAAGGAGAAGCAGCTAATGAAGAGAAAAGAAATAAAACTGATTTTGCTCTCTGGAAAGGTCATAAACCTGATGAGCCATCCTGGAATGTGAAATGGGGTAAAGGCAGGCCAGGGTGGCACATAGAGTGCTCTGCTATGGTCAGTAAGGTGTTCGGATCTCAAATTGACTTCCATGCTGGTGGTATAGATCTTCAGTTTCCCCACCATGAGAATGAGGAGGCCCAGTCATGTGCATACCACAACACAAGACAGTGGGCCAACTATTGGGTCCATGTTGGCCACTTACATGTGAAAGGGGATACTAAAATGTCAAAATCTTTGAAAAATACCATATTAATACCTGAGTTGCTGAAATCCCACAGTGCTGATGTGTTCAGGATGGCTTGTCTTACATCAAGTTACCGCTACCCAATGGAGTACAGCTCAGAAGTAATGAAAACAGCAGAAGAAGTGCTAAACAAATTCAAATTCTTCCTAAAAGATGCATTTATTTATGTCAATAATAATGCAGTCAGTAATGGGGACTACAAAGATAAGATATTGGATGATTTACAGAAAACAGAAGAGGCTAACATGGAGGCTTTGAAAAATGATTTTAATACTTCTGTTTGCATTAATAATCTGCTTACTTTAGTCAGTAATGCTAACAAAGTGATTAGGTTAGACACTTCAGAGTACTATCCAGTGCCTATTGTGTTGATAGCTGAGTATGTTACTGACATGTTGACAAAGTTTGGACTGAAACTGCAGGATTCTGCTCAAGACAGTGTACTATCAAACTCTCTCATTGATACTCTTGTTGAATTCAGGCATACGGTAAGACTGAATGCCCTCTCTAGGAAAGATAAGGAAACACTACAAGCATGTGATATTGTTAGGGATAAAATGAAGAAAATGAAGGTACAGATTAATGATAGCAATAAAACCTCTTCTTGGGTTTCTGTGAAATAATTGGCTAAGATAACTATGTCAGTTTTTGTGATGACATAAAATCAAATACTTTTGTAAGTTTGCCTAACTTATTCTTAGTTAATTGTCACTACACTATTATTATCATTATTTTATAAACATTTGTTGTAGTATTTCTCCAAACAATATGAGATTACTTAGAACATGTCCATAAATAAAGCAATAAAATGCCTTGACCTCATTTTTATCAAGTATTTTTATAACAGGGCTTAATTGATTGAAACCAATAATACCTATTCAAGTATAGTGTAGTGTGAATCGTGTAAATAATGTACTGAGAGGATATTTTATATGTTAAGATGTTGAAATAAAAGTATATCTCCACTGTTCATTCAAGTTTTTATTAACATAACTTACTTACATTCAAGTCCATGACTAGACTATGATGAAATGAGATTTCCTTGGTCTATGTCACAATTATAAAGAATATAAACTAAAACGAAATCATTTACTTTATGGCAAGTATGATATATTGTTCAGGATTTCACATTTTGTGTCATAAATATCTTGTTGTTTTTGGTATAATTTTGACGTTTACACGTTTTGGCGGGAACGCATCGATTACATGTACCACCAAAATACACGAATTAAAATTATGTAATCAATATTTTTCTATGCTCATGATCACCTGATATGGAGGGTGAATTATAAACATAGCAATGGTCTAATTAGGTACCATCAGTCTTATAATAATTTCACATTCAATGTTATGTAACTTTGTTCAAAAACCGATTCCTTATAAATACATGAGCGCAGTTCTAAACAAACATTAAGTACAATTGACACAACAATTAGAAATTCAACAAGATATAGATTTTTGTATTACGAGCTTCGTTATATTGAGTTCGGGAATCCACTATGGAATGTTAACTGACCATTGACAACACACTATGCCCAATCTCTAAAAAATATATTGTATGTTAACTAATTTACTGCGGAATTTCATATGCTAACTTCAAGAAGCTAACTAAGAAATCTCGTCGTAATAAATAAATGTAAAAAATACAGGAAAGCATTAAAAAGAATACCTGTGGTAACAAAACATCTCACTTAATAATGAAAATATGGAAGACCAGTGTGTGGAGAAAATAGCAGAAATACATCAGATGCATTATTAATAAAAAAATCTGCAATTGGGCATTAGTGGGTCAAACCCGCTCAAACCGCACGACTAGTATAACATAGCAAATCTACCGACTAAGTCTATTACTGCAAACCGATATTACAAACATACACAAAACATACAAATTCAAACAAAGACAATACAACGAAGCTGGCAACACAGAGGAAACAAATTTTGTGCGCGGGATACAATTCAATCTTAGGAATAAAGACTATCACTTAATTGGGAACAGAATGTAGGGGGCCATTTTTATCCTGTATCATATTTTCAGCTTTGTAGACTTTCCAAGCGACTAAATAGTCGCGAACCATTTTGAACAGTGTGTAGTAGTTTATGAAGAGTAATATGACTATAGCTAGGAAGTTGTGCCATTGTATGGAACTGAATAGTAAACATAACTGTAGTATTATGAGGGACAGCTGTAGGCATAACATGGCGCATAGTAACAGCGAGGGATTTGCGAACACCGTCTGAAACAGAAATTTAAATATTAAATATGATAAATATAGTTCTAATCTTGTTTTAGATACTGAATAGCTATAAGCCCAATATGTGTTGGGAGTTTAGAGTGTGGGAGAGCCAAGCTTTGGCACTAATGGGACGGCTCAGAAAACCGGCGTAAAACACAAACAGCTGTTTCGCTGTTTGAGTGAGGTTACGGGAGGCCCAATATTTCCAATACAGTAACCTTTTTTGGCATTGCCTTTATTTTTAAGGGCCAAGTGAATAGGTTACATTAGAGCAAATTTGTTCTATAATCGCTTACCAGCAGTCCAAATATTGGTTATAAATAAAAAATCTTGAGAGACTTACAAACATATAGTAATTGTGTATAATGGGCAGCAAAACTCACATGGAATCGAGTGTGGACGACGGAGGCCGGGTCCGCGGCGACGGCCGGCGTGGTGGCGATGTAGACGCGGCCGTTGCACGACACGCGCGCCCCCCGGGACCACATGCGACCCGCGCACCATGTCGCTACCTCGGTACCTTCTGGACATTTAGGATGTTGTTACTTAAATTTTATGAAGTATGGGAGAGCCAAGCTTCGGCATGAATGGGTCGGCTCGAACGGAGTGATACCACGTCCTCACAGAAAACCGGCGTGAAACAACCACACCATTGTTGCGGTACTCCATGAGCGGCGCCGTTTGCTTACCATCAGGTAACTCGTCTGCTCGTTACCCGTCCTATCACATAAAACAAAAAATGATTGCGAATTCGACAGGCCTACCCCTTGTAGGTAGCTACTTGTTCATGTCGTTCTTCCAGTATCCAATCCTTTTAAAAAGGATTTTCCCCAGTGTCATGGGTTCATTTCAAAACATACAATTTTAACCAGGAACAACAATTTATAGATCACATAAAATACTTTTTCCGTGAGGGTATCAAAACGACACGTTGCAGCTGGTTGCCCAGCCACCGCGCAAACCGTGCTGACAAATTATAGTTTCATGTGTGAGAGCGAGGCTTTGACGGCCACGGCCTTACGGAATAACGGCGTGAAACAACGCTTGTGTTACAAAACGAAGGCCGTGTGAGTGATGTTACCGGAGGCCCAACGCCTTTCCCTCTCATCCCCGTAAAAAGAAAACAGCGAGACCCACATGTAAATGCACCACGGAAGCCCAATTCGCAAAAGCCCATAATCTTCTAAGAGACCACAAGAGGCGGGAAACGCACTTGTACTTAATTTGTTACGGGTGTATATGGGCAAGAAAATAAGGAATATGAAATCTCCTAAAACACCGCACAATTCATAAAACAACAATATTTACAATGCAGGTACCTAATAGCAATAAAAACTAAAACTGACCTGTACAAGAATTATTATCAGGTTTCCACCGACCCAAATGTAGCGCGGACCGATGCGGTACGTCGCAGTACGTCGCACTGACGAGCTGACTCACGTACCGCGCGAACAGGCCCGCCCATACAAACGCTGTCTGTTGAGACGCTGCGTATACTTCGTAGTAGAGATATGGCTGGAAATTTTATTTTCTATTTTATTTATTTAGAAAATTTACATACATATACAACATTACAGCTTACGCCATTAAGTTATATTTACTGTTAATTTTATAAAAATAGTATTAAAGATGTACTTAAAAAAACCTAAATATAGTACTAGTTATAATAACTGGTTATTTTAAAACCAATTTTGTATTTTTATTACAATTTTCAAGTGTGGGAGAGCCATGCTTCGGCCCGAATGAGTCGGCTGGACAGGAGTGATACCACGGCCTACACGGAAACAACCACTGTGTTATGTTTCGCCGTGTGAGAGAGGTTACCGGAGCCCAATTCCTTCTCCTCCCCCAATCCCTATATCTCTAAATCCCTAATCCCCAAAAGGTAGGCAATGCACCCGTAACTTCTCTATTGTTGCGGGTGTCCATGGGCGGCGCTGATTGCTTACCATCAGGTTATCCGTGGGCTCGCTTACCGACCTATCAATTAAAAAAGTTTTTTGCTATAACCGCTTGTGTGTTTGATAATTGTAGATTATTATAATACTGATAGGTCAGCTCAAAATTAAGCCTTTGACTGCCGACCGAAAACTATTGAAGGCAAATCCTCTGCTACCATAGGTCACCGGTGACCTATGCGGCAGTTAACGTGTTAAGAGTAGCTTGTTTATAAAAACGAATAAAAAAGACATCTATCCACACTTACAGTATTTCGCGTTTACAATTTATTAATATTAGTCTGGTAGGTAACTTTAAAACTAATAGTGTGGTATGTTTTTATTCACTATCGAAATGGTATTTCACACTTTTATCGCACGGAAATGTACCTACGAATTCTGTGGTAATGAGATTGCTACCAACCGCAAAATTATATTTATAAGGTCACGTGAATTGTGAACATGTACAAAATTACAAATGGTTGACCAATCATTTTTTTCCCCAGGATTTTCTCCAGTATCACGTGTATGCGTATTACAAACATATAATTTCAAAGTCACCTAGCACTCGGAACAGAAAAATCAATTTGTGAATCACACAAAACATAGTTCCGTGCGAGAATTTGAACCCACGACACGCAGCGCGGTAGCCAGAGTTGCCCAGCCAGCGTACCAATAACAAATACAAGTGCCGAAATTGAGGTAACATCTTACTGGGTAATTAAGCTACTTATACTTTTTTTCTATGAAAGGAAAATCATCAAATTACATCTCATTATCTCTCGCCCATGGTGAAGCGAGAAGGAATGTCAGACTCTTACTGACTAAAAACCCCCCGTTCCTTATCTTGCTTTAGGCTGAAGCCCCGGTACCATTTTATTTCTACAAGACGTTGCCCCACATTAGGTTTTCTCTTGTGTCGTGGATCGTCCTTTACAAATTTACAAATTCACATACACATCACACCCAAACACGAAAAAACAATTTGTGGATGACACAAAGTTCCGTGCGGTAATCGAACGCGCGACACGTTGCACAGAAGCCAGTTGCCCAGCCACTGCGCTACTTCCAACCGTGCGCATATTGCGCTAGCCCCGCAACCCCGGCTTTTACTAAAACACACACTACAAATATTACTCACCTGTGCAAAAGTACAAGGTATAAAACTTGAATAGTATGCTCCAACGACTGAATTAAATATTATTTTCTTCATCCTATCATTAAAGTCATGTCTTAAAGCTTCAACTTCTGTGCGTATCTGTGCGGCGTCGTGCGTACAACAATGTAACGGCGGATCGCTAGTGTTCAACTCTAAGAATGGACCGGACTGAAAACCGAATAGCAGGAAGTATATCACAGCCCTGAAAAGGAGAATATTTTATTATTATTACTTGTAGAAATAGGTATATAGGAAAAAACATGTAACCCTAGGAAAAAATGAATTTATTTTAGCAAATAGGCCATTCAACGGCACATTTACATGTCAAAATTATAAATAAAAAACTAGACGAAGCCAGCATTTCCTATCTTAACTTTCAAAAGGTCCGACAATTGCCTATTTGGCATAAATGATTTGACTTTAACTTTGATTTGCTACAACACAGAAATATTGTAGTTAACACATAAATACTGTATAACACACGAATCAACCTCTCTCATGTTAAAATCAACTTTAAATGTTTCTATCATGGTGGAATTTTGAATACAATAGGATTACCAGAACACACATGCCAATATGTACTAATAATTTATTACATAACTAGTGGCCCGCCCCGCTTCGCGCGGATCTAACTACATATATCGCTATCAAAGTGTCATTTTTTCCTAATCTTCCCCTCTACTTTTCTAATATTTTCTTTGATAAGAACCTTCTCCTGACAATAAGAAACACAACAAAAAAAGAATGAGCAAAATTGGTCCAGGCGTTGTTGAGTTATGCGCTTACCAACACATTTTGCGATCCATTTTTTATATAAAGATTGCAATACTCACGGATATAACAAGTAGAATATTTTCACGACTGGATACTTTAGCACGATGAAGTATGTGCACCACGAGAGGGCACCTAACACTACGCCCAATATGAACATTCTGAAATCGAGAATAAAGATTTCATTATTTTTTAATCATATTTAAATTTTCATTACAAGTGTGCGACGACATAATAATTATTAAAAGAAATTGTTATTACTATCTTTTTAATATTATTTAAAAAAATCATTGACCGAAACTAGGATTATCTTGTGTGTCGTGGGTTCCACATACACATCACACCCAGACAAGGAACAACGATTGATCCACAAAGGAAACAAACCCGCGACCATTAGCTAGCCGTTTGTCCAGCCACCTCGCCAACCAAGCATGTATTCTCGTTATTAGATGGTTTACTCAATTTCAAGTTCTTTGAGCTTTCATACAGTATATGTATACATAGTTTGGTACTACTCACAACCAATAGACCAAAACACATATATCTTAAAAATAACGACATATACAGAAGTTATTAAAATATTATGCGTTCTATTTAGCAAGCCATAAGTTTTATATTTACCTGGCAGCTATAGTAGCGTGTGGCATCAATTTTGGCGCGAGAACACCCCTGAGTATTGCTAAACTGATACTTAGTAGAAGTTTGCGGAATATTATTGTCACTATAAACGCCACCAAATGAGGGTCGATCAAGTAGAAATTCTGAAAATAAAAAGCAATATACATATATAATATAATAATAGTGTTAGAATGTGATGATTTAAACTTTTGTGAAAATATATTTTTAGGTGAATCGTAAATTATTAAAATCATTAAAAGAAAACATTAGGGATTTGTAATTATTTCGATTTTTAAAAGATAATAATTTTAATTCACGTGCGATCTTCTATATGCACAGAGTGATTATGTGATTATTATATAGATTACCTAGTGAGTAAAATATTTTTTCATTTTTTGTTGACCTCCCAATCAATAAATTAGCAATACAAACAAATTAACTACTATTAATATATAACTATTATTTTTTACCAACACAATTTATTTAATATTAATTCTCCTTCACACTTTGATTACAAACGGCCATGAAGGTCTTATCACAATATCAATGGGGCCTAAAATTAGATATTTGTCCTTGTAACTTGCTAACACATACACTATGACTCACACAAAAACATACACCCATGTATGTATAGATAGTCATAAAGAATACAGATAAAGATAGAAGAATTCAGTAAAAATTCAAATTGTAATACAGAGTTAAGAAATATATAATATTTTGGAAACCATCCATTTGCTTTTCCAAAAGTGTGGAAGAACAATGCTTAGGTAGGAATGGGCTGGCTCAGTCGGAATGATACCGAGGCAGGAAGAATACTCGAACAATACCAAGGCTGAAGGAATACCGGTAAGAAACAACACTGGCCACACACTTGTATATTCTATGTAGTCCTGGGTGCTTTTGGCTGGAGCCAATTGCTTAACATCCAGTGATTGTATTGTTACCGTCTGCTGATATTTAATAACTAATTGTTTGCTTTTAAAAAAAAAAGTATGGTATTTTACACAAAAATATTAAGTGCTAACTACTTTCGCGCGGTTTCACCCGCTGCTTGGCTCCATTTGATTGTAGCGTGATGTTTTATAGCAATCAGGAACATTGTAGCTCAGTCTATCAGTGAAAGAATTTTGGCAATCCGACCAGCGGTTCTAAAGACTACCCCTACATAGAAACTTTTTTTGATATTAGTATATAAACCTCATACAAATTTCATAAAAATTAATTATTTTTGGCATTCTCAGAAAGTATTAAAATTTATTTATCGTCAAATATCATATTCCTTTAACTATTTGTGGCTTTTTATTGGTATACATGTATCATGATCATAATAAGAAGTATGTATTTCTCAAGAACACAGACGTAAGTGGGTCAGACAGTATTTTATTGTCTTTCATATACCAACAGTTGAGAGGTTAATGATAAAGAAATAAACAAAACATTTAAATAAAACAATGCTAATGCTTCCTTCACTTGAATCAAACAGCATAGCATTCAATATTATAGAAAGACTGTTTTATATGGGCATTTAAAGGCAAATATTCATTAGAAAGTCTGATAACTTAAGGATAAACATGGCTGTCTTAATTGGTTCTATTTAAAGCAATTGATATATTCCAATTTCAAATAGTAGATTCCAATTGGTCATCACTATTCCATTCTTACTAGCAGTATTTATTACATTTCAAAATTAGTAATATCATTGCTTATGCCAATCTACCCTCTCATACATTTATACTTGATTAAAAGTGCACATAAACTTACCATTGCCTGATTTGTATAAGAATGTGGCAGCCACCAGGCTGTTCTGTACAGATTCAAAAACTGCAACCCAGTAGCTACAAGTGTAAATACAAATGTCATTGCTTCAAAAAGAAGGTTGCCATCTTGAGGTATATAGGGGAAGGGGATGTGTTTTGGTGCTACTGGCACATCCGCCAGCTTCACTTCAGAGACTACATTTGGAGGAGTTGTAGGTGCAGCTCTTGAAGATCTTATCTTCTTTCCAGTACCATTTATTTCCTCATCTGCAACTGTGAATGCACCCTGGAATGTAAAGTAAATGTATGTTAACATATTTATGTTATAGTCATTTACAATAAAACATCAATGCATGAATGCTTCAATAAAAGTATATTATAATTCTTTATTTTACAATTCAAAACAATAAGTAAACATACACTACCTACCTTCTAAGTCTAAGTTCACAATAAACAGGTACAAAACAGGACAACACTATTAAACTGCTCCAAGATGACGAAATATAAGTCAATTATCTTGCTGCAGAACATAGCAGTTGGAGACTCGACCTTACCTTCTTGTTAACACCAGTGGTTTTTTTAGATCCGGGTGGCATCATTTTAGTTGTTATCTGCGGCAGGGGCCGCTTGATAAGCGGGTCTTTTATGATTTTTCGCCGCCTAGAGACGGCTGTAGACGAAGTATTGCTAACTTGGGAGTTCGCCCAGCGTCTAGCCAGGAGTATGGTCAGGCAGCCAACGACCGCTGGTAAGAAGAACACGACAAAAGGGCCACTTTCATTTTCCGTACAACTCATCACTCACATGTTAAAATGTTTATTAAAAAGTCACAATATTGTTTTATTCCGCTTATTTTCGATCAACACACAGCACAGTCGATCTGCCGAACAAATTCAACAGTTGTCAATGTCAAAGTATTTTTTTATTTCTTCGAGTTTGTGACAAAGCACACATACATTCAGACAGATTACAAATGTTTTCAGTTCTGTGTGCAAAATGACAAATATTCAATGCAGTATATTTCTTTTTCTAAGAAACTGACATTTGTGTGTTCTATCTGTATTTTGACGCAATCGATTTGCCAATTTTTTCAATGCGTAATGTGATGCCGGCTTTTACTTGCTAAAATGTAAAATATTACATGTATTTGTTATTTTAAGGCAATAGATAATTGCAGCAATGTCTTTTGCAATACTTTGTTCATTCGTTATAACCTTTTATGTTGTTATTTGGTTTTTTGACTCCTTTTTCAAGGTATTATTTTTTGAAATGGTTATGAAATAATTTATGTTGTTATGTTTATTGATCGAATATTTGTTTATTTCAGAGTTGTATGCACTATCCGTATTATGCGTTCTTGGAAGGGACTGGTTTAAAAATAGGAATACTAAACTTCACATGGACAACGACTGCTTTCAACAGGTTTTTATATCGTTGGAGTAAAAATTTAGCTCGCATCCTTCGTAAATGGTATACATGCGGGTACATTTTCACCATCTGGATATTTCTACCATTTGCTATATGGACTTTGCTTTCATTCATATTCGAGCATTTCTATGAGACTATTCAAATCAACAATGTACCTGAAATCAAGGCCATGCTGCCTGGTGTAAACATTCCGGCGTCAGATTTCTGGGTGTATTTCTTAGCTATAGGATTTAGTACTGTATTCCATGAATTGGGCCATGCACTGGCTGCAGCTCAAGAAGATGTGCAACTATTATCTGTGGGTGTATATGTATTTACTATAATACCCATAGCATTTGTTCAAATGAATTCTGATCATTTGAATACTTTGTCTGTTACAAAACGATTGAAAATATTCTGTGCGGGTATATGGCATAATGTTGCTACAGCATTTGTAGCCTTGCTGTTGTTCTTTTCAGCTCCCATTTTATTTAATATAGCTTATGAAACAGGGATTGGGGTTAAAATAACTGGCTTTACTGATGACTCACCATTAAAAGATGTTAGAGGATTGGAACAAGGTGATGTAGTCAATTCAATAAATAATTGTGAAATAAAAAATGTCAATGACTGGGCTTACTGTCTTCATATGGCCCATGAGCGATTTGGTATTTGCACCAGTGCAGAATTTGTTTCTCTAAATGATGAAATCATGATGGAAACTATTAGGGAAAATGATGTTGTTGAGTGTTGTCGTAAGGATGATTTATATAGTTTTTGCTTTGAATATATTGAGCCAAAAGTAGTTGCTGACTCTGTGCTACCAGGTCAGTACTCTTGTTTGAAACCAAGAGATATGATCAAAGAGAAGTTCACAAAGTGCACAGAACCTGGTGGCTTCTCTTGTCCAAGAGGCATGCACTGCTTGAGGCCTTCATTGAACAATCACACATATTTGATAGTCATTGAAAGGAAGGACAAAAATGCTGTTCTTTACTTAGGGTTGCCATATGATTTACATAAGACAGTATTCATAGACCAGTATTTCCCAAGAATGGCACTATTCTCATTCTTCTCACCCTCTCAGTTTGAGAAACTGCTGAGGTATGTATTCATGTTTTCAATGGGCATAGGATTCCTGAACGTGGTTCCCTGTTATGGAATGGATGGTCATCATATAACAAGGAGCTTGATACAAATATTAGCAAAATACTTAAATAAAAATGGTGATTTTGTGACATTTTTTACAGTATTTACTGTGGTTGTTGGTACAGGTGTAACAGTACCTACTTTAATTTATTTATTCTATCAAGCTATTGCAATAGGTGTAGATTAATTGGTATCAAGTTTAGAATAAAATGTGATTGATTGCTTTTACAAATGTAAAGTCTGATATTCTAGTGTATGTTAGTGATCATAAGATACAGCAGTGAAAATAGTAATTTATTTATTAAATTAGTGTCCAAAACAAATTAGCACAACTGGACTCAAAAAAATGATGACTTGGCATTTAATAAAAACATTTATTTTGTAAATAGCTAAATTATATGATGAGCTTTAGTATCTATGGTTTTGTTTACTAGTGTTATTTAAAAAAAAAAACATTTTAGTTGTAAAGATGTAATGAATTAAAATAAATAAAAGTTTTGTACTATGAACACATTTTCATTTTCAACACCTTTTTTATTTAAATTTTCTGTACACTATCACAGATTACTTTCTACATTTATACACATGGTTTAATAAATTCTATAGTTTTTCAACTTTTACTCAAAGATAAGGATTTTTGTAAATTACTCAATGACTTTTGTCCATGATGAAGCATGGCTTTAATTGTGGTTTCATCTTTATGGTGCATGTTGTTCCTGAAATCCGCCCTGGCCCATTCCTTTAGGTCCGCTCTTGTGGTCTCATCTGGGACTTGTCTGATTGTCCTAAAGATCTGCCTGTATAGCTTCAACACTTCTTGGCGAAGAAGAAACTAGAAATAAAATGAAACAATGAATTTATTTTTGCAAAGAGATCAGAAAACAGCTGGTGACATTTACACATCAACATTATTATATACTACATACATTTCCTATCTGACTACTCTGAGAAGAAATGCCTTAACAAACTCAGAGGTCTCTGTGTCTCTTAAATTCAATAGAATGTAAAAATAATGTCTACAATATACTAGCTAGTAAGTAATCTGTATCTCAACAGCAGACTGATAAAAGAGTCGTAGAGGTAAGAGTAATCTTCACTATTAAAAAGTAAGAACTATGAAGATTACTAAAGATGGATATTATACTAGGAGGAGAAATAATCAGCTATTGCTATTTTTGTACCCACCTAGGTAGTCCTGGCTAACCTATCACGAAAAATTGAATAATATACCATCAAAGGTCAAATATCACAGCGCAAACCAACTACAATAATAGCTGTGTACCTACGTTAGTCAATAAATGACACAAAAAGTTATTGGTTCATTACCTGTTTCAAACTCAAAGCTGTTTTCGGTAATTTGGATGACATTCTTCACTTTTTGTAAATTAAAACTCCCTTCGCTTATGTATAAACACCTTAATCAGTTTTAATTCATAGCATTTTTTCTAGATCTTCATTTTGCGCTGCGTTATTAACGAAAATAATCCAAAATGCAATCCACGAACAACTATAAATATACCTAACCTAAAACCATAACTGTCAGTCAGCTGTTGACAATTTGACATGTTTATATTAATTTTGTGAAGCTGGCTTTGAATTAAATTAAAATTTCAATTTCAATACTTAATTATTTATTATGTTTTCGGCTTACTCACGTAATAATTTGACGAGATACTCGACTAGTTTCAAGCCATGCTAGAGGCCCATATTCATGAGCAGCATTCCGCGACACGCGACTCGGCGACCTGCATTCTGCATTAGACTGCACTGTTGCGGGTCTGGAGTGTGACACAGTTAGCGCGGTATGTAACACTGTTTTTGCGTCGACCCGGGATTCGAACCCAACACCAACGCAGCTGCAGGCGGGCGAGTCGAGCGTGCCAACAGTGTCGCGCGCGCCGTCGCTGCCGACACCACGGCTAGAAGAAAGTGCGCGTGAATCACGGCAGAGGGCGCGTTGGGCGCGCAGACTCGAGTAGCCAGTAGCAGCGCGACGGTCGCCGAGTCGCGTGTCGCGGAATGCTGCTCATGAATATGGGCCTCTAGCATGGCTTGAAACTAGTCGAGTATCTCGTCAAATTATTACGTGTGTAAGCCGAAAACATAATAAATAATTTAGAATGTCTCACGAAAGATATAATAAAAATTCAATACTTAATTTACTATATGGGTTTAAACTCAAAGAACCCAAGCGTCTCAATTTGAATATTAAAGCAAAATGCTATAGAGCTATATGGTGGATATCCCACTCTCCATTTTTTATTATCAGATCCACTAAGGAGTGGAATTCTTTGCCGTAGTCTGTGTTCCCCGAAGGATATTCCTGGGTGTCTTTATGGCCCGAATGAATGGGCAGCTTTTGGGCAGGAGTACTCCATCGTTGCATCATAGCTAAGATGATAAATAAAAAAAAACTAAATTAATATAAGTAAAAGTTGAAACTCAAAGTACCTGTGCTTTGCAGATGACTTTATAGCGACGTACATACCTACATTCTATGGCACAACCACCACACCACGTTCGTTCTTCGTTTCGTTTCAAATGGGGTTAAATCAAATTATTCATATAAAATTTATTTATTTAATTAAAAAAAAAATTCAATACTAAACCACGTGAAGTGAGGGATAAGATTGTGTGGGGCACGCCGCTATAGCGGCGGTAAGGCCCGTTCAAGAGGAGTGGCTCAATAGGTGCCAAGGCGCCCTCAGCTTCCGACTGACGTAGGTGCTTAACGGACACGGGTGTTTCGGGAAGAGCCTGTGTCGAATAGGTCGGGAGCAGACGTCTCAGTGCCACCATCGTGGTGATTGCCGCGACGATACGGCGCTGCATACCTTGGTGGAGTGCCCAGCTTGGGTCGAGCAGCGCCGTGACTTGGTCGCGGCCGTAGGTGCTGCGGGAAATCTCTCGCTTCCGGCTGTAGTTTGTACTATGGTCGGGAGCGAGTCAGGGTGGAGTGTCGTCGCTACCTTCTGCGACGCCGTGATGCTGAAAAGGACTACTACTTTCAAAATTGTTTAAAAATTTAGTAATGTAATTATTTATTGAATTACTATGCTTGTTTAGTGGTACTCATTATAATATTTGAATTTTTGTTAAAATGTGGATAATGCAATGGGCTGCAATATTGTTGTTACTAGCACATTTATTATTTATTTACTAAGCACTATACATTGTGGCTGTTTATTGTCCCTAATTAATAAAATAAAAATAAAATAAAATCTCGTATAAGTGTGGGGAAGCCATGCTTCGGCACGAATGGGTCGGCTCGACCGGAGTGATACCACGGCCTCGCAGAAAACCGGCGTGAAACAGCGTTGTGTTTCGCCGTGTAAGTGAGGTTATTGGATAATGGGTCAGCTCGTTTGCCGACCTATTACATAAAAATAAACTTTTTCATGGGCAATCAAAATTGTCCCTGTCTATTCGCCGCCGCCGATTACTTCCATGAGGACACGGGGGTGCCCAGCCCAAGCAGGGCACACCGCCACCGTATGTTCCACCATGTCCCCTAGGTGGTCCTCACAATGACGACACTCGGGCGTTTCCTCCCGATGGATTCGAAACAGGAACCTACCGAAGCTGCCTTGCCCGGTAAGCACCGTCAGGCGGAAGATGAGGCCACCGTGGCCTCTCTCAAGCCTATGAAAGCGTGCCCTACCTTTTATTTAGATACTGGTGACATCTTTAAAAGAAAATCATACAGGATGGGTAATTCGATTACTTACTACGCACATACAGGTTAAAAAAAACATAGGAAACTGTTTGCTCTATTGTTTTCAAATGTATAAGCGCCTTTTGTAAAGAAAACTTTTGACTAGAAAGGCAGATGTTTCGAAACCGAAACACAAAATATTATAACTTTTGATAAAACTATCAATGCTTAAAATATTTATCATACATATTATCAAAGTCATAGTTGACATAACTGTTTCGTCGATTCCGCAAGATGCATTTTTGAAAACGTTGCCCTCTAGATACTATTTTCTCATGTTTTATTAATGAATTCTCATGTGTTAATATAAATTGTATGTTTGTAAACGCACGTAGGTGCGTTTACAAACATACAATTTACATACAAATCACACCCAGACCCGGAACAACAATTTGTCGACCACACAAAGAGTTGTTCCGTGCGGGAATCGGCGCGGCGGCCAGTTGTCCAGCCACCGCGCCAGCCGGGCAGTGAAGTCAAAATCTTCATCTGTTTATGGCGGACAAAGGTATTTAAGTATCTACGTTTTACGCGGTAGGTAGGTACCTAATTCTGGCTGTTTAAAAACAGCAGATGGTTAGTCGTGTATACATTTTTCGTTAAAATAAATTGTAGCTGTTGTGTGTGAGGTCTAAGCAAAAATGTGAATGTTAAAGCATTCTCTATCCTCAAGCCTCAATCCTCAAGCATCAATCAAGAAAATATGAATCCCCAAAAGGCCGACAACCGACAACGCACTTGTGATATGGGTGTTCCTGAGCGACGTCAATACATTACCGCGAGGTAGATACCGGATTTTCCAGTCCAAAAAAACTCCAGTTTTAACTATCACCATTGGCACCACAGGCACATTGAATCTCGGGCACGCTACTATAGCAGCGGTAAGACCCCTCTTTGAGGAGTGGCTTGAGAGACGCCACGGCGTCCTCACCTTCCGCCTGACGCAGGTGCTTACCGGGCACGGCAGCTTTGGTAGGTTCCTGTTTCGGATCCAGCGGGAGGAAACGCCCGAGTGTCGTCATTGTGAGGATCACCTGGAGGACACGGTGGAGCATACGGTGGCGGAGTGCCCTGCTTGGGTTGAGCACCGCCGTGTTCTCAGGGAAGTGATCGGCGGCGGCGACCTCTCGCGCCCGGCCTTAATCGAGGCCATGGTCCAGCGTGAGAGGAACTGGGAAGCTATCTCCTCCTTCTGCGAAGCAGTTATGCTCGCAAAGGAGGAGGCGGAGCGCGTGAGGGAACTATCCTCCTCGCGCCCCAGCCGCCGCAGAAGGCGACATTCCGGACGTCGAGGATCGAGGGATGATCTCCGGCCACCGTAAGCGCGGGTCTGCGGACGGCGAGTAAGGGTAGCTCGCCGCCCGACCAGAACTGGACCCGAGCGTACGGCGCGTAGCGTTCCGCGCGCGCCTCAAAGAGCCAATAGACCACCACAGTCGGGGCCCTAAAGGGCTGATGTTTAGCCGGGGCTGCGGGGTAAGCGCAATGAGGCACCGCGACCTCGGCCCAGAGCAGGAGAAGGAACGGGGGGGTTTTTAGTCAGTAAGAGTCTGACACTCTCTCTCGCCTTACCCTGGGCGGGAGAAGTCATTGGATGATTTTCCCCTGACAAAAAAAAAAAAAAGGCACATTGAATCTACGACGTGGAAGAAAAACATAAAGGAACAAATATGTACATTCTTCGATTTTTTTTATTAGATATTTCGATTTAAAGATTTCATAACTTTTTTAGTGCTTCTTAACTGTTAGAAAAATCAGAATCACCTTTTTATCCGTTACCTACATTAGCAGTTACGTACATATTACATATTTATGGAAGACCGATTACTACGTCAACTTTACATAAATATCTTTGTATTTACCGCAAATAGGTAGGTAACTACTTCGACAAAATTGGCAGACTTAGGTATGTAGGCAATGCGAAATTTCATTTAAAAAAGTTAAGAAAACTGGAGGAGACCTCTTTAAAACTCCTCGAAAACTCTTTTATAATATGAGAATTGCAGCTTCAATCGTACAGTTTCAATGAAATTTTTTATCAAAGCCAAGTTTACTATGAAACGTAACGATATCATTAAACAAAGAGAGGGGTTAATTTACATGAAGCTTGAAAGTGGACGAAAGTTAACCGCCCATGCGCTGTGTCCGGTCCGTAAGCTCCGCCCTAGGTATGAGAGTTCGCGGGAAAACGAGCTTTTTTCATGGCGCTCAACAAAGCGACCAATCATGGCCGACGTCAGTCGCGCTGCGATCGCCGCGTGGACCGCACGTCTAGTTACCGAGTCTCTGCTGCGCGCATAATATAATGTTTACGCGAACGCTAAACTTGGACAAGAAAAACTTTTGAAAATTTTCTGTAAATATTTTTTCAGTGTTATTCTTGTTGTATAATAATTTTAGTGACTCTGTATATTAAAGATGGACAGTAAAACACCAACAAATCCCTCATCACCGCCAAGGGCTCAAGTGAAAAAAGAAAATGAAGAAGAAATCAAGGTAAGGTTTAGTTACAAATATTTTTGCCGACATTGACGTGGGTTTCCGTTGGAAAACCATCATCGTGTTACAGTTTCGTCTTATTGGCAAGCGGCCTGTTTCAGCCGGTCTCGTAACAAGAGACGATCGAATCGTATTTTTAAATTCGATATTTATTCATCTCGATCTGCGAGGGGACCTCCACAAAGGTTCGAGTCTCGGGGTTACGCCGAATAAATTATTCGGTGTTATATTTCAATATTAATTACATTTTGCGATACACAATAAAACGCGTGTAATATCACGTTTTCGAGGCCTTTTCCAGCCATTAAAGTGTGTAACGCGATATCCGAAGCGCGCTCGGATCGCTGTAACCAGAGTCGCTGGATGTTTTGATAATAGATATAGGCGGCGCTGCTGTGTTAGTGTGTACTCACTGGCAGCACGATAGGTGTGTGCGTGCGGGGTAATTTTAGACGTTCCTTTGCTCAAAACGTAACTCGAGACCGTCCCAGGCCACAAGCCGACGCTTCAATTTATTGTTTTCATCTGTTTATCGTAATTATGGACGTATGGTAGCGTCGTCTGTGCGCATTATTGTCGCCGATGGTCGGCCGCCCCCGTGGATTCGCGCGCTTTTATTTTGGCGCCACGGAAATAGTTTGACATGTCAATAACCTCATTGGCGTTGTCCACGCGTTGGTGACGTCACAGGACACACGCGACGATTTGTTTCTAAAATTTGAGGTCGATTTAATTTATTGCATTAGTCGCCTCTCTGTCCTACTTACAAAGGTATCTTTTTTATTTTTAGTATTTTTATTACAGAGATCAGAATAGTAAAGTGAATATTTGCGCATTAATGATCGGCTAGAGTCGCAAAAATAAAAAATAACAATATTTAAAATAACTGCTGGTCTGAATGAATAACATTTCAAAAAGTCGTAAATTAGATGGAGAGAACATGATAGGTGTTGCAAAATATAATCTTTGAACGGTAGCAATAAACGGAATAACAATCTGATAAGTTGTGAGAGCTTGCAACCCGTTATTAAGGAGCCATAAATAGTGAAATGCATTTGACGTATGAATGTGTACCAAGGCGCAAATTGTTATGTGAACCAGATACAAGTACCTGCTAGCGGCTTATCAAAATTTACGATGCTATTTACGTACTTAGACTCAAAAGAACATCAAAATATATCGCTATTTATAGGCAAAACCCGAAGTAACTTGGAGTTCATTTTTTAATTTTAAATATGCAACACTCTGCATCTTGTAATAAATACTTATCTATACAGTCCAAGCAGTTGTTACCTTAATTTACCAATTTCTTGTATAACAATTCATACGCCTCACACTAAACAGTCTGCGGGAATAAATAAGTACATAACCATGAGGCCCCAACGGTTTTGTAGAATATAGGTACTTAAAGCTTTATTTAGTCTGGAAAGATATCTTATCCATGCAAAATAAATTTAAATGAAAGATCATAACAGCACAAGTAACAAAAACACTGGGTATTAAAAATGTTGAGTGACATAAACAGACCTATCATTGTAATCTTTGAACCATGTACCTACTAATTGGTATTCAAACTTCGAACTATGGTCGATCACCTGGTCTGACTGCATTTTGCCATAATGTTCCCTATCTAGGTAAATTTGTCGCGCCCTTCTTAGCAAACCTTCCTAACTTGTTGCAAAAGACTTTTTCAACTACAAAACCATATTTTTATTGAAGTATTTTTCCTGTGTCGTGGTTGGCGTTTACAAACGTATTATTTTACATGCTCTTAACTATTGAAATAAGGTGTGATAACAAACCACAGCTAATTGCAATGGCAGCTCCTTTTTTGTGTCACCATCATGTATCCTAGATCTAAGTTACTAAGAACTTCAGCTGGGGTTGCGCGACAAGTACAATGGTTTACCACGGCTCCACTCTGGAGCAAGAGAAGGAACAGGAGGAGGTTTCAAATCAGTAAGAATGTGGAACTCCTTCTTACTTTAGCTAGGGTGATAGGAGTACCTAACTTGATGATTTTACGGCCTAAAAATGCTAAGAACAAAGATTCTTAAGAAAGCAATTTCAGTATCATATCAAAGTTCTATCGTGACACAGGACTTTATTCGAAACATCAGACATCGAACCCTTTCCCATCTAAATGCAAATGACAAATGCAAAATGCATTGCTCTATTACATTATATCGTACGACGAACTCCAATCTGCAGTGTCATGTCATGGTGTAATGGATGCGGTTGAAAATTGACGGAAATGCCACGGGAAAAACTACTGGCAACACGCGATCTACGTCGGACTGACACGCTTATTTACATGAACAATTCAATCTGTTTAACATCTCTGAAGTTGGAGCGTTTCTTTGCCTTATTTTCTTTGTAGCTGTCACTAAAAGAAACTTCACAGATTCTTTGCTACGTTCCAAGCAAGTTTTCTGACAAATTATTTGTTCTTTTAACGATTTTAGCACCTTGGTGTGTGTGTTTAATCAAATTATTACCTGTGTAATAAAATTCGCACGCGGCTTTACATGCGTATAAAATAAAGTAAATGTATCCCGGGATTTTAAAAACAGCAGCGTTTAAAGCGAAAGTTAAACTAAAATACGCAAATCAAGTAGGTGAAAACAGTGAAAGAATTTTGGAAATCCGATCAGCAGTTCCAAAATTACCACCTACATACAAACTTACAAATGTTACCTTTTAGTATTAGTATAGATTGCGTCGCTAGTTCATCGTAGGAATAAAAATATGCAAGAGAACGCGTTCCTTTAGGGGTCGTCTTTATCATATTTAACGGTACCTACCGCTGGCAGGCCGAGCGGCATCATAAAGGCAATTATATCACACAGACAGAGCTTAGCTTATTGCCAGATGTAATTACATACTACGAACAGTTTAATGACGTCTTCATTATAGAATCCTTCCATAATATTTTTAAAGTAGGTACCGACTTTGACTTTCTGTGCCAAGCTGGACAATCAATTTATGTGTACTCTAACTTCCAGCCTATAAGTGCCTACTGCTGCAAAGGCCTCTTCTGAAACGGAGGGAGGTTTAGTTTACATTTTGAAGTAATGAAAAGTCCAGGTTTCCTAATAGTGTTTTCTAAATAATCGTAGAAAGTACATATAACACAGAAAAAGTCACATTGGTACTTGCCAGATTCCGAAACCCGCATCCTCATGCATTAGAAGCGGGAGCCCTAATCTCACGACATAACACAGCAGAACTTTTTTCCCAGTTAAAAATATTGTTAAGTTTTCATTCTTCACACACGATAGATCTAATTACGTTTTAAAATTAACAAATTAATAATTTAATCCGATGACACGATGCCCTAGAATCTTTTCCGCAGAACACTTACGAAACGTCAGATCATAAAATATTGCACTTGCAACAAATGCGCTTACGCACTTTATTGGGGCAAGGTCGTAGCGCTGATCTTTTTATTTGACACCTTATTACTTGCACACTAAGGTTGATAGTTCAGTAATTTGTGTGTATGTGTGTGTGTGTGTGTGTGTCTAACATTGTCGGTGTCATCTTGTTTATGTAGCGCATGTGTAGTACTGTTTGATATAGTGCTGCTTTAGTTTGAGAGGTCGTCCGCTGCATGGTCAAGGAAGCGATTTTGTTGATGCATTAGCTCTTCGGTACAAAGACTGTGATTGTAGGCCACCTATAAACCTAATTGAGCGCATTTAGATATTATATTACGATGTTCGATGCTGTTTTTCAATGTGCTGTGGTTGCTATTTCGAATGTCTTGATTATGTTTGAATAAAATATGTGATTTTGTTACTTTTTCCTTGTTTATAATATGACACATTACAAAATGGCATGACTCATGCGCAAAAGATCCAGGGTCTATCGGACTTGTTCTCGTAAAAAGTTTAATAAAAGTTCTCGACAGAAAGAAAGGTCTACAGAAAAGGGGCACATTTTAATCCGCTTTCTTTTGAGCGAGGAAATTCATTAAATGTTGGTACTTCTTGCCTTCCCCCGTCCTAAGTAGGGCTAGAGGGAGTGTCAGACTCTTACTGACCGGACCGGTCGTAGTTATTTTTTTCAGTTTACTTGATAGCAAGGAATCGGCGCCATCCATGGACACTCGTTACTCCATAGGAGTCACCACAAAAGCTTTGCCGACCTTTTCTGTGTTATTAGGGATGGCTAGGGGAATAGCGGATTGAGGATGGGAAGGATAGAGCCTCTGGTAACCTCATTCACATGGCGAATCGTAAGTGTTGTCTCATGCTGGTGTTCTGAGGCCGTGGTATCACTCCGGTCAAGCCGGTCTATTCACACCGAAGCTTGGCTCTCCTACACTTAACAGACACAGTTTACATTTAAATCCACTAAACATTAGAAAAGCTTCTCAACGATGGTCAACTGACTAGGAAAATACAAACAAGATATAACTTTATAAGTTTTATAGCCCACGTACATATATGATGTCCTTAAAGATAATATAATAATTACAACAATATAAAGTAACGAACAAACATGGAAAGTCAACACGGGTGTGATGGGAGCGACATATGATAGCTTGTTGTAACTGACACTGTGATGCGATGCTTCTGCACTGTACATCTTTCATAGAATAACGCTAACGCTAGCTGCAGAGGGGTTGTGAGAATACTAGTGGTAACCCGAAGCAAAGAATCGATTGATGGCTTAAAGGAAATTTGTAATTAATGGCCTGTTTCCAACTCGATTGTGGTGTAATGCGAGAGATTTTGTGAGAATTAGATGCATTGTTAATTCATTCATTTGTAGGTATCGTTGTTTTGTCATTGATTCGAATGCGTATCGAGTTACGATTATGCGAAAATCTAGTGTCTTGTCTCAAGAACAAAAGACTAGGCTCAATACTCTCCGTCTCTTTCTCTATGTCTGTCTTTCTCTCTCTCTTACAACTAAAAGACACTTGTTACTCCCCTGGAATTTCGGGTGTCTATAGGCGACGCAGGTTGCTTACTAATGAAAACTCATAT